TTCCTCGATCATAAGCTCCTTAAGAGCTTCCCAGCCGATGACATTTGCCACTATAAGAGATAGTGACTTCACAAAGCAGTACAATCTCAATCCAACCATACTACGTCGACATACACAACCGATAAACATATAGCCAACAAACAGATAACAGGCAAATCTAACAGATCACGACAACATAAAACAATACGGTAAACCAGGATATCAATCCAATGGGTCGTCCTTGGTGCCTTAGTCCCATGAGTACAGTGAAGAAAACTCACCTCAAACCAAGATAACCGAGCACTCGAACTGCTGCTACCGGAAAACCTCGCACTGGCATCATCAGATAATATTCCATCAATAATTGATTCCCGGCCAAACATGAATTCTAGTCTAATGACCAGACCCTCAGAGTAAAAGTCCATTTTACCCTTTTTCCTTACTTTGCCAAACTCCAAAGACCAATCCAATAGCATCAAAAGCCCAAATCCCTTAAATGACACCACAAGGACCTACAAGGCCCAAATATCCAAATTGGGCCCAAAACCCATCATTGGCTTAATCGAGAGGGCCTAGTATCCAAAAAGGCCCATAATATCTGATGGTCAACTTCTGGTCAATGCTCCTAGGTCAAAAAGTCAACAAATCTAGAAAACCCATCAGACTGAGTACGCCCCGTGTACTCAATTGGTACACTCAGCGTACGCCTAGTTGACTCAGTACACGCTGCGTACTAGGAGGTACTCCCCGCGTACTCACTCTGACCATAACCAACTTAGAAAATGTCTTAATCCCTTAAGCCAAAACGTCCAATGCTCAGATCTTGTTCCAAATCATGACTTAATCCATAAAGTTGTTGACTTTGAGCTTTTGCATGGCTCAAAGGGTCCCAAATCCAAGTTCTTACTTTACAAATTCAACAAAGGGGCCAATACACATGCATGGGTTGATATCCACTATCAAGATCACATTTTTATGCCTTTGGGACACCTAAAACGTCCAGATCTAGTGTCCAAACTCTTGGGTCAAGCTCAACCTCATAAAGACAAACCAAAGGGACCAAAATGTGCCCTAAACCACCCCAAACAAGATTTAACCAAAGAGATGCCAAGATGAGAGTTTTTACCTTCAATAGATTGCAAAAGATGGGAAACTTCTGGATCTACAAGCCCCACTCCAAGTGATGATTCTTCAACAAGCTCCAATCTCTTCAAGATGCACAAAAATACTCCAAGATTCCTACCAAAAGCTTAAGAACTCCAAAATGGTGGCTAAGGGTCGAGTATTAGGGTTTAGGATGCTTGGAGGCTGATAAGGGACAAGGCTTAAGAATAAAGATGCTTAAATAGGGGTAAAAACCTAAAAATGAGGGTTTCTAGCTGAAGGGAGTACGCCCCACATACCCCTTAGTACGCCCAGCGTACTCAAGAAGCCTCCGCGATCAGACCAGCCATTATGCCCAGCGTACTTGGTGAGTACGCCCCGTGTACTTGACCAAGCTCGAAACACCTAAACTTCATTTGCCCATAACTCCCTCGATCTAAGTCTAATTTCGACAAACTTTAAATCCACGGAAAGGTGACGAGAAGCCCTACACTTTAAAAACTCACCCTTGCCTTAAAACTTCCCGAACAAAAACCCAAAATTCATAAAGGCCCGAACTGCCAAATTACGATTATACCATTGGGCTCCGAAACACAACCGAACTCTCGAATCAACTAATCTATAATACCCACATCAAAAAAGGCTAATTCTCTTCTTCCCTAAGGCCCTAAGCCTTATGGTAACCGATCTTCGGGCCACACCCTCAAATTAGGAATCGATTCGGAACAGGGCGTTACACTTCTTGTTCTTCTTTTTCATCGACAATTGTTAATTCATCTAGCAATAAAAAATTACAGTAGGAATTAAGCAATATACGGAGGATATGGGAACAGGTTTTGAAAGAGTTTGGGAATCAAGCTAATAGAGAACGTCTAATTATGATTAACTGGTTAATTTGTAACTCGATAATGGTATATATTACAAACTTTCCACTGCAATGCTTTACCAACAGATTACTCTTGACCCAGAGCCGTTTCGTTTTTCACGGTTCAAATGTGTTTTTTCCTTCTATTTTTTAACAACTTAATTATTCATTGTGTATATTTATTTCACAACTTATATGCATCCCACATATACGTAGTATATATACACCATCAGAGCAAACCATTCAAAACATGGTTTCATTATTGACATGACACGAGTTTTCAATGCGTTGGATTTAGAAATTCGTGTTTCATGTCTATTCGTGTCGACACAAATTTTAAATTTATGTTTTATCAAGGTTGTAAAAATCGTTTGACGTTAGCTAGTCGGTGGACTAGGGTCAAGGGATTAATCGGCTATGCGGAGATTAATCGGGGGATTAATCGGGGACCATTAATTGCTAATTTGTTAGATTTAAAAAAAAAATATGACTAATATCATATAAAATTTCATAAATACCACTAATATCATAACAAAATAGGTTAATATGATAAATACAACACTAATCATACCTCAAATAGTTTCTATTAAGATATAACTTCTTCAAAGTGTTAAAATTTTATCGGGTTCTACTATTTCAGTCATTTTGTATGCATGGATTAATCGCTAGGCGCTCTCTAATCAGTCAAGTAGCGTCTAGAGATTAATCGGGACGTAATCGGGATTTTTACAACACTGTTTTTTATGTCTTACGTGTGTCAAAAACAACTTAACTGGTTAAACACGTATAGACACGAATTAAACCCGTGTTGACACGCAACACGCATAAACAAATATAAACACGTATATACATGAATTACATTCGTATAAATTTATGTTTATCCATGGTTTCATGTAATACGTATAAATGACACGTAGACACAGATTGCAAGGTTTACTTGCTAAGTTGAAGCTATAAAGAAAGATATACAAACACCCACAAGCGAAAAGTATCTTCAAATCGAAGGTTTAAGAGTTTCCATTGATCATCGATAACTCCATGTTATTTATAAGGGCTAATGTCATAAAAGCCCCTAAATTTTCACGAAATATTCGATTTTACCCTTTTGTGTATTTTAGGTACACTAAAGCCGCATACTTGCTTAAAATTTTGCATTTTAGCCCTTTTAGGGGGTTAGCCGGTTGCCAACCGGTTACCCACACACACATGGCTCGCCAAATCAGTGTTGAATAGGAAAGTTAGGCTGACATGGCACATGTCAGCGTATTTTTTGTCTTGGATGAAAAATGAAGACTTGGAAGATTCGAAACCCCGACCTACGTTTCTTAGGGCCGACAACTTACCATCACAACGGATTTGACTTGGTGTTATCATTTCTGCATATATATATATATATTATATACGAAATGCTGGAACCTTATTATTATTATTATTATTATTATTGTTATTATTATTATAAACAAGAAACCATCATTTGTATATGCGATTAGTTTGTGTAACAAAAAAAAAACATTTGTTTATTGTTACCCCAGTGGTATGACAAAAATGTATACAAAACAATTTTTTTTATTCTTAGTTGATTTATTGCCAAAACTCATAAAACAAGGTTTTTGGTGTTTTCTTACTTTTTTTTTTCGTATTTTAATGTATAAAATTCGTTTTTAAATATATACATACGTTTTCAAATGTGTGTATTTTATATGTTTTTAAATGTATAAAGATGTCTTTCGACATTTATAAAGACGTTCTTATACGTTTATATAGTTGTTTTTATATGCATAAAAATGGTATTTATACATTTAAAAAAAATATTTATAAAAAAATCGTATTATGTGAGTCCATGACAAATCTTTGTATATATGTGCATGACATTATATAATTATGTGTTTTGTGTATTTTGGGAAACACACGTAAAATTTTATGCATACACGTTTGTATATGTTTACAACCTTATTTATACATTAAGAATCATCACTATAACAATATAAATATTTATGGTTTAAAATATAAATACATTTTTTAAATCAAAAAAATATGTTTTTTAAATATCTAATACATTCTAAATTCATAGAATAATAATAAATAATAATAATGTTAAATAATAAAAATAATAATAATAATAACAATATTAATAACAATATTAATAATTCTATGCGTTATCCGAAGATTATATATAATTAATGGGAATGAGAAGCATAAACTGTCTTGTAGCCTAGTGGTTAAAACGCCGGACTCTTCTATGAGAGGTCTCGAGTTCGAGTTCAGGTAATCCCCTTTCCACAGCTTTATTGCTGAATCTTTTTTGAAGTAAAGGAACACTGCTTACGTGGCTTTCCTCGTCAGCGCCATGTCTGCATTTACTCACTAACAAGCATTTCAGTGGGCCTGGTGACCGGCTGATAACCCCCAAACCGGATAAAAGGGTTTTAATGACAAAATCTATCAAAATAGGCATAAGTGAACATAAAAAACGACTTTGGGTAAAACCAATGTTTTAAAACCCGGTGTGATGACCGGTTAAACCGCCGGGTCAACCCGGTTTATGGTCTTTTTCTATTTTCATATATTTTTACTTTCCCTCATAATGTATAAACATATAAAACCAATAATTTGATGTCCACAAAGTTTAAACATTGAAAAACATTGAAGAAGCCGCAACCGGTTCGTTGTTTTGGCGTTCGCTACGTGTATCCAACTATCCAAACCCTATTAAAACGGGTTAATCCGGTTTTAACCGGTTCGACCGCGGTTTAGGAGAAACCCGGCCGGTTCGATCCGGTCCGTATTTTTACAAAAAACCGTTCTCAATTGACCCGCCTTCTACCCCGGGTCACGGTCCAACCGGTTGAACCGGCCGGGTCGACCCGGATTTTAAAACATTTGGTAAAACCAACAATTTCCTGCAAATTTAAAGGTTTTTATGATATTAGCCCTATTTATAAAGAATAAACAAACTATAGGAAATATTTACAAAATAATGGAATTCCAAATTTTGATATCGGGGAGAGATTTTCCAACGTTAGCCCACTACCTGTAATTCTATGAATCCAAAATGAGGATTATAGGAAAAATTCTCCTCCTCTTCTTTCTCTTTGCTGCACCATCCACAGCGGATATCAGATTCGTGAAGATCCGATCCCATAACCGAGATATAATCTTCTTTTCGGAGTTTGAATACTCACATACCGGTTACGTTTCCGTCGCTGTCTCCTCCGTCGGGATCTCCTCCATTCCGGTCACCTCCAACTCATCACAACCTGATCCATCACGTATTGGTTTCTTTCTTCTTTCGGATGAACTGCAACACAGATACAATCTTGAATTCGATCGAAACCCTGATTTGTGCGCATTGGATATCAAATTCATCACAGTCCTCTATACTTTCCAAAATCTTACCCCTCCTCCTCAATCATCTTTTAACAAATCGTACAATGTCATATATCCAGGTGAATACTCACTCTACTTCGCCAATTGCAACGACCTATCCCTCGTCACCATGGATGTCCGCACAGAACTCTACAACACGAATGACGACGGAACCACCAAAGATTATTTATCAGCCGAGCAACCTCAGCCATCTCTCTACTTCAATTTCTTCTACATTTATCTCTGTTTCTTATCGATATGGATCGAAGTATGCTTCAGGAACAAGCGATATTTTCAGAAGCTCCATTTAGTAATGGGTGTGTTGCTTGTGATGACTCTCTTTAACTTATTCTGCAAGGGGATGGATCAACATGATTTCAAGGTTACAGGTACTCATCATGAATGGCATGTCTTGTTTTACATATCTCAGTTTATGAGGAATGTGCTTTTGTTCACTGTAATCATGTTGATCGGTGTCGGATGGGGTATCTGGAGGCGGGTTTTGCCAGAATGGGCAATATTCATTTGGACGATTGTGATCCTATTTCAGGTTTGGGCTACTGTAAGTTATACAGTGGTAGGGGAATCTATTTCATATATTGAAGAGCATGCTTTGAATGAAAGTTTTGGTCTTATAGATGGCATCTGTTGCTTCGTTGTTTTTTTCCACACTTTTTGCTCTGGTATAGCTTTCAAAGAGGCTAAGGATACATCAACCTTTATGAGGTCATTTATCTCGATCATGGAGACTTCTGTTAGGCCGGATGTGTTCCCTTTCGTGTTTTTAGTATACATTATTTTCTTTAGGTGGACTACCGAGGAAATGGGCAATCTCTTGTTCTATATTGTGATGTTTTACCTGTTCAGGCCATTTGATCTTGACGATGAAGGTACAAAGGGTGTGGGAATTCTGGATGATACTTGTGATAAAGTGTGAATTATTAAATTGAGCTTCAAGTATTCTGTCATGGAACAGTTTCATGTGTTTAGTCTGTTTTGACATAAGTGATAGGTTGATGGGTGTTTTGCGAATCATGAGCTAAGTTATAGCTTTGGTTGATTTCGGAACTTCCGACTTGTAGTTAGGTTTGCACACTTGCATTTGCTATGAGTAAATTACAATTCTATATTCAATCATTATATATATAAGTCATTTTGCAATGAGCTATGTTTAGAAATGTTTATTTAAAAGAGCTTTTTTTTTAAATGCTTATTAGCTTATACAGTATCAAAAAGTTAAGAAGAAAAATGTTGGAGTTAATTTATATGGTACAAAAATATAATAAACAGATAAATCGTTTTTTAGTGCTTGAAAAATTATACTTAAAAATATAAAATGACCAATAAAAAAATCTTTGACTTACTAATGTTTTTTCTTGGACATGACGATTTTTGTATCATAATAATACTTTCTATAAAAATTTATATCAAGGAAACTAAACATGAACATATTTATATAACTGAAATGAAATTAAAATAATTTTAATTTAAAAAGAAAAAACAATAAAAAGATGTTGTAAAAAGTTGATGGTTGCGGTATATAAATTAAGTTTAAATAATAATACAAAAAAGTTAAGAATATGTGAATGATATTCAAACATACATTTCATTTGATCTAATGTTATTATTACAGGCCGACAAATCTATAATTATCTCCACACTAAAGTACCGTTGTAAAATATATTAAAAATCATTAATTTGAAGTTAGATTGTAATAAGATTTTTCCTAACATAGTTTAGAGTGTGTTATTCATTTTAAGCTATAATTTTATCATTTTTGTTTCATATTAATATACATATGAAAGACATAACAAGCTTATGAACAGTAAAATATTTGAGGGACGTCTGCTTTTTTGACATAAATAGTCCCTGAACTTTATTAAGGTTGTCAGTTTTGGCCTAATTTTTTATTTTTATTTAGTTTTGGGCCATTTTTTTTAAGTCAAAAACCAGTTTTGGACCACTTCTGATTGTTTTTAGTTAAAAAAATGTTTTAGGCAAAGCCTGGATCACCTAATAGTTTAATTAATGAGTTACAGTCTTTCGAAGTTGGGGTATCATAGCTGAAAGTTTTTCAGATTTTTTGTGTAATCTATGAAATTTTTTAAAATAGCATAACTTATTTATTAATTTGAAGTTGGATTGACATGAGATCTTTTTCAGCATGCAACTTAAACTTTTTACTTCGATTTAGACTTAATTTCATTATTTTTGGTTCTATTCAATAAGTTACAGTCTCATGCTAGGGGTATTTTAACGTCCCATTTTCACAACCAAAAAATTTCATTTTTATTTAAGTAAAACTTCCCAATTATAAATCCATTGTGAATAAAACGTTTATTTCAGATACATTTATTAAAATCAGAGTAACATTTAAAACCCGGAGTCCGCATTGTTGCTGATGAATGTGTACAGTCACGCCTTCGCCTTCCCGAGATAACCGATAATACCTGAAACAATAAACAACTGGGTAAGCACGAAGTTTAGTAAGTTTCCCCCAAAATACCCCATACGATAAACATACAAGCATGCATCGGGTCCACTCAACCATCGGGTTGGAATACCCCAGGGTTTGTTGGCCTACCGTCTCAACCCAACCGCTCTACCAGAGCCTCTGTGCCTTCGACTTACAGTCGGCCCGCACCCGTATCTTAGCCTACAGCACAAAGCAGGACCGCCTCAACCCAACACTACCATATGTCGACATATAAACAACAAGGATCAAGTAGGCACATAATACAGACAACAACAATCATACAGCTCATTCCCGCCTATTAGTCCTCTCACAACACACAGTCTCATTACTAGCTAACCTCTATGAAATGCGTAACCATAAGTAGCCAAAGGTGAGATAGCCATTGTAACACCCCGTTTATTTAATAAATAAATAAACAAATTTATGAATGAATAGTAACCCTAAAATCAATAGTTATATAGCAAGGTGTTGGATTCGAGGAGTTAATTAGCACAATTTAGAATTTGGGGGTTAAAAGTGTAAGTTCCGTATTGGTTTAGTAAATATTTATGAAGGTAGGGATTACTTGGTAAATTATTGGAACTTAACTTGAAAGGATTTTGAAGACTAAGGGCTATTTGGGTAATTTCAGATTTAATTTGAAAGGAAAAGAGGTGGAAGGGCTGAATATGTCATAATTGAGATATTGGGGGTTAAAAGGGTAACTTCTGGACTGGCTTTGCAAAGAAATTCAAAACGGAGGGCTGTTTGGTAAGTATTGTACTTGATTTGTAATAAAATTTTAATGTTGAGGGTTAAAAAGGTAAAATATGGATTTATTTTGAAAGAGATGGGGGAAGGAGGGACCATTTTGGTCATTATGGAAACAAGTTGTGGGGATCGGGGTATTTAAACTCGTCACCCCCGGTACAAACCCTAACCCTAAAGGGGGATGTACCAGCCGCCACCCTTCCGGCGCCGCACCACCCTTGTACCTCCAAGCTTCCGGCCGCCACCTTCTAGCCACCGTTGAGTTCCTGCTGTCGGTGACAACGAGAGCCATCGGGAAGGAGCCAATGAAGACCGCCGGTAGTGGGTGGTGCCTGACTAGCGAAACCCTAATGGGCCCGACTAGCGAAACCCTAATGGGCCTAATGAAACCCTAATGGATCTAAGGACTTACCTTTTGGGCCTATTGGGTTGAGATTGGGTTGGAAACCCTAATTTTGGAATCATTGGCTTGGACTTATCGGGACCCGCTTTTTGGGCCATTGGAATTGGATTATGTATTAAGCCCGACCACACCATATGATTTGTCTAGTAGAGTGATGGACTTAATGGATTAAGTCCTTAATGGGTTAAGTGAGAAACACTTAACCCTAATCGTCATTTTATGTGAAAACCCTAATTTCACTTGGGCTTTGAGTTGGGCCCTTCTATTGGGCTTTGGTGATTGGGATATTGATGGGCCATCCAAGAACAATCATATGGACTAGAATAATTTAATGGGTTATAGGGTAAGGCCCATGTGAGGGGTTTGGGCCTAATTTGGAAAATTAGGCCATAGGTGAGCTATAATTGGGACTTTATGATTATGAGATATTGGGCCATTAGAAATGCCAAATGTGTGGACCGGACTAAATGATTGGGCCTTAGAATAAGACCATGTAAAGGTTTGGGCCCAATTTGGAAAATTGGGCCATATGTTGCGCTTTGACTCATAGTTGACTTTGGGCCTTTGGATTGGGCCTTGGGCTTGAATCAAGCTAAGATAGGGGTAAAGCAGTCTTTTAACCCAAGCATGGATTTATGGGTATATGTTGGAACCCAATTGCTGATTGGGTGTTATTTTGATGATTGACAGTTCGAGAACCTGTCATCCAGCAGCTAGAGTTTTTTCTACGGGACTTCAGCAGTGTGAGGTGAGTTACCTTCCATTAGAAGTGGGTCTAAGGTCACAATGTCGGCCCACTAGTAGGAGTTGTTTGTTAGATGATTGTCTTTGTGATAATTATCTGGTAGGCCATTATCTGTTATGTTTGTGTGCTAGGATGCTCTGTGATACATGTTAGTAGTAGTAGGGGTGAAATAGTCCTCGGATACCGGTTGAAAGATACCGAAGGGGAGGTTAGCTCTCGGTTACCGGTTGAAAGATACCGAATGGGAGGTTAGCTCCCGGTTACCGGTTGAAAGATACTGAAGGGGAGGTTAGTTCCCGGTTACCGGTTGAAAGAGACCGAAAGGGTAGGTCGGGCACCCAGATATGCCTGAGAGTATGATGTTGTATGGTATGTGGTATGATGGGGGAACTCACTAAGCTTCGTGCTTATGGTTTATAATTTTGGTTTCAGGTACTCGTTTTCAAGGGAAAGGAGCCGGCTTGATCGTAGCGCATCACACTATGTTTTTCGCACATGAGATCTTTGAGATTACACTCTGATATGGTTTTATGATAATATGTTTAATTTATTGACACTTTGGTTTTGACATGAGATATTATTATGAATGCTTTTATACTGTTGGTTTATGAATTGTTATACTAAAAACGAAATTTTTGATCTTGAATTTTGGGATGTTACAAGTTGGTATCAGAGCCTTGGTTTGAGGGATTCGGGCACACTCTCGGGTGTGTCTGGACTCAAACTGAGGACTTGATATGAGAATTTTCAAAAGAAAAATCGTTATAAAAAAGAATTTGAAAAGAGAAAAAGGAACTTTGAAAAAGAACAAAGATGTGTGATGCGTGCAATCAGCCGAGCTCAAGTAAGTTTTCTCCAAGATACTCATACATGTTATGTTATGAAATGATATGATTATGAGAACTGCGTGCTAGATTAGGGATAAGGATCTAGGAAGGATGCCTTATATGCCTACTGTATGTGCTTGTAGATCTGCATGTTAGTACTGATTAGCTAGTGATAGGATAGTCTGTTTAGGTTATGCCTGATTGTATGAGCCTTTGAATTGCATGTACAGATTCCTGATTAGAGGATAGAATGGTTTGATTGGAGTATGATGGTTAGATTTTTCATTGTCTGAATGTTGTTTGCTTTGTGCTTTGTGGGAATATTAGTGATGTGAGTTAGCTACTAAGTGAATATGCTAAGTCACATGGGACACATGCCGGATAATCTCAGAGTGATGGACTTGACCCTATTGTGCAACTCTTGTTTGAGTCCAACCGTTATAGGGATGGGTCTTTTACTCGAAGGATTATCTGATCGTTGTTGCGTGTGGCTATATTCATGAGGTAGCTAGTTGACATTATTGGGAATCTTTCAGCAGCTGAGGAATGGGTGGGTTCGGGAACCTAGGAAAGCCTAGGATATGTTTCATAGGGTTAGTAGTGAGGTTTAGTGAGACATGGATGTATTAGTTTAGGGAAGTGACTTGGAGGATTCGGGAGGATTGTTGAGGAAAGTATGGATAGGTGTGGAAGGTAGTATTGGGCCCGTACTACTGAAAACACAAGATCCATACTC